GTGGCGGCGGCCAGGGGAAGCCCAGGGGACAGACACCCAGCAGCTCCGGGCCCCTTCTGTCCTCTGGGGCCGCCTCATCGCTGCTCTCCCCCCCCCCCAGCCTCTGCACGACCGGCGTGGTGCGGCTGCACATCAACAACTGGCTGGAAGTGAGCTTCTGCCTGCCCCACAAAATCCACAACGTCGCCTCCCGCTTCATACCCCCGGAGGCCATCGAGAGGAGCCTGAAAGCCATTCGGTAAAGACGGCCGTTATTCCCTGCGACTTCGGTGGCATATGGGGGGGGGGCTGAGCAGTCGGGGCTCTCAGGAGAGCCAGTGGGGGACCATCCCTCCCTCCCTATCCAGGCACGGCAGCCTGCGGTAGCCCCCCCCCGTCCCCCCGGAGCGTCCTGGGTGGTCACCACTGGCAGAGGACAAAGGGCACCGTCCGGCAGCCTTGCCAGAGCGTCCTGGACAGTCAAATTCAGCCATGAGTTTCCCCGCAAGGTTTGGGGCTGCGAGGCGAGTGGCGCTCCGACTCCCCCTCCGTGGAGGACAGGGGGGGGCTCCCTGTGTGAGAGATGGCTTTTGCCTCTAGACTTGGACCCGGAGGGGTCCTTTGGAAGCCACGACTGCTTCAGGTCCCTCTTGAGCGTTTGGTGTCGTGGTGAAGTGCGCAGAGGACTCTCATCTGGGAGAACGGGGTCTGATTCCCCACTCCTCCTCCACTTGCTCCTGGCTGGATGACCTTGGGCAAGCTCTAGTTCTGACAAGAGCAGTTTCTGTCCAGAGCTCTCTCAGCCCCGCCTACCTCACAGGGGGTGCCTGTTGTGGGGAGGGGGAGGGAGAGGAGTTTGTGAGCCGCTCTGAGACTCCTCTGGGTAGTGAAGGGCCATGGGGTAGAAATCCAATCTCCTCTTCTTGAGCAGCCCCACAGCTGTGGCCGCCGTAGCTCCAGGCCGTGTGTGGGGAAGGGGGGGGGCTCTGCCGGGATGGTTGGCCCTTCCCGGGTGTCTCTTGCTGGGGTGCCGGGGGGGGGGTAAAGGCTCTGGCCGCCCCACCGGATCCCCTTGCCGC